TGAGCAAAGTCAAATTTTGGCCGAAATTTCAACAAAATGCAAGGCTAACCCCTTGCCGTTTTTGTCAAAATTTTGGAGTCTGATTTTTCATCAAAAATGCACTCTAAATGCTCTGGAAAAGACTTAAACATGCTGGATTTTATTCTAAAGGTGTTTCTGAGGAATTTTGATCAAAGTCAAATTTAGGCCAAAATTTCAATAAAATGCAAGGCTAACCCCTTGCTATTTTTGTCAAAATTTTGAAGTCTGATTTTTCATCAAAAATGCACTCTAGATGCTCTTGAAAAGACTAAATCATGCTTGATTTGGTTCTAAAGGTGTTTCTGAGTGATTTTGAGCAAAATCTTTTGGCCAAAATTTCAACAAAATGCAAGGCTTACCCCTTGCCGTTTTTGGCAAAATTTTGAAGTCTGATTTTTCATCAAAAATGCACTCTAGATGCTCTTGAAAAGACTAAAACATGCTTGATTTGGTTCTAATGGTGTTTCTGAGTGATTTGGAGCAAAGTCAAATTTTGGCCAAAATTTCAACAAAATGCAAGGCTAACCCCTTGCTGTTTTTGGCAAAATTTTGAAGTCTGATTTTTCATTAGAAATGCACTCTAAATGCTCTGGAAAAGACTTAAACATGCTGGATTTTATTCTACAGGTGTTTCTGAGGAATTTTGATCAAAGTCAAATTTAGGCCAAAATTTCAATAAAATGCAAGGCTAACCCCTTGCTATTTTTTTCAAAATTTTTAAGTTCGATTTTTCATGAAAAATGCACTCGAAATGCTTTCAAAAAGACTAAATCATGCTTGATTTGGTTCTAAAGTTGTTCTGAGTGATTTTAAGCAAAGTCAAATTTGGGCCAAAATTTTAACAAAATGCAAGGCTAACCCCTTGCCGTTTTTGTCAAAATTTTGAAGTCTGATTTTTCATCAAAAATGCACTCTAAATGCTCTCGAAAAGACTAAAACATGCTGGATTTGGTTCTCAACGTGTTTTTGAGTGATTTTGAGCAAAGTCAAATTTTGGCCGAAATTTCAACAAAATGCAAGGCTAACCCCTTGCCGTTTTTGTCAAAATTTTGGAGTCTGATTTTTCATCAAAAATGCACTCTAAATGCTCTGGAAAAGACTTAAACATGCTGGATTTTATTCTAAAGGTGTTTCTGAGGAATTTTGATCAAAGTCAAATTTAGGCCAAAATTTCAATAAAATGCAAGGCTAACCCCTTGCTGTTTTTTTCAAATTTTTAAGTTCGATTTTTCATGAAAAATGCACTCGAAATGCTTTCAAAAAGACTAAATCATGCTTGATTTGGTTCTAAAGGTGTTTCTGAGTGATTTTAAGCAAAGTCAAATGTTGGCCAAAATTTTAACAAAATGCAAGGCTAACCCCTTGCCGTTTTTGTCAAAATTTTGAAGTCTGATTTCATCAAAAATGCACTCTAAATGCTCTCGAAAAGACTAAAACATGCTGGATTTGGTTCTCAACGTGTTTCTGAGTGATTTTGAGCAAAGTCAAATTTTGGCCAAAATTTCAACAAAATGCAAGGCTTACCCCTTGCCGTTTTTGGCAAAATTTTGAAGTCTGATTTTTCATCAAAAATGCACTCTAGATGCTCTTGAAAAGACTAAAACATGCTTGATTTGGTTCTAATGGTGTTTCTGAGTGATTTGGAGCAAAGTCAAATTTTGGCCAAAATTTCAACAAAATGCAAGGCTAACCCCTTGCTGTTTTTGGCAAAATTTTGAAGTCTGATTTTTCATTAGAAATGCACTCTAAATGCTCTGGAAAAGACTTAAACATGCTGGATTTTATTCTAAAGGTGTTTCTGAGGAATTTTGATCAAAGTCAAATTTAGGCCAAAATTTCAATAAAATGCAAGGCTAACCCCTTGCTATTTTTTTCAAAATTTTTAAGTTCGATTTTTCATGAAAAATGCACTCGAAATGCTTTCAAAAAGACTAAATCATGCTTGATTTGGTTCTAAAGTTGTTCTGAGTGATTTTAAGCAAAGTCAAATTTGGGCCAAAATTTTAACAAAATGCAAGGCTAACCCCTTGCCGTTTTTGTCAAAATTTTGAAGTCTGATTTTTCATCAAAAATGCACTCTAAATGCTCTCGAAAAGACTAAAACATGCTGGATTTGGTTCTCAACGTGTTTTTGAGTGATTTTGAGCAAAGTCAAATTTTGGCCGAAATTTCAACAAAATGCAAGGCTAACCCCTTGCCGTTTTTGTCAAAATTTTGGAGTCTGATTTTTCATCAAAAATGCACTCTAAATGCTCTGGAAAAGACTTAAACATGCTGGATTTTATTCTAAAGGTGTTTCTGAGGAATTTTGATCAAAGTCAAATTTAGGCCAAAATTTCAATAAAATGCAAGGCTAACCCCTTGCTGTTTTTTTCAAATTTTTAAGTTCGATTTTTCATGAAAAATGCACTCGAAATGCTTTCAAAAAGACTAAATCATGCTTGATTTGGTTCTAAAGGTGTTTCTGAGTGATTTTAAGCAAAGTCAAATGTTGGCCAAAATTTTAACAAAATGCAAGGCTAACCCCTTGCCGTTTTTGTCAAAATTTTGAAGTCTGATTTCATCAAAAATGCACTCTAAATGCTCTCGAAAAGACTAAAACATGCTGGATTTGGTTCTCAACGTGTTTCTGAGTGATTTTGAGCAAAGTCAAATTTTGGCCAAAATTTCAACAAAATGCAAGGCTTACCCCTTGCCGTTTTTGGCAAAATTTTGAAGTCTGATTTTTCATCAAAAATGCACTCTAGATGCTCTTGAAAAGACTAAAACATGCTTGATTTGGTTCTAATGGTGTTTCTGAGTGATTTGGAGCAAAGTCAAATTTTGGCCAAAATTTCAACAAAATGCAAGGCTAACCCCTTGCTGTTTTTGGCAAAATTTTGAAGTCTGATTTTTCATTAGAAATGCACTCTAAATGCTCTGGAAAAGACTTAAACATGCTGGATTTTATTCTAAAGGTGTTTCTGAGGAATTTTGATCAAAGTCAAATTTAGGCCAAAATTTCAATAAAATGCAAGGCTAACCCCTTGCTATTTTTTTCAAAATTTTTAAGTTCGATTTTTCATGAAAAATGCACTCGAAATGCTTTCAAAAAGACTAAATCATGCTTGATTTGGTTCTAAAGTTGTTCTGAGTGATTTTAAGCAAAGTCAAATTTTGGCCAAAATTTCAATAAAATGCAAGGCTAACCCTATGCCATTTTTTTCAAAATTTTGAAGTCTGATTTTTCATTAAAATGCACTCTAAATGCTCTCGAAAAGACTAAAACATGCTGGATTTGGTTCTCAACGTGTTTCTGAGTGATTTTGAGCAAAGTCAAATTTTAGCCAAAATTGCAACAAAATGCAAGGCTAACCCCTTGCTATTTTTTTCAAAAATTTGAAGTTCGATTTTTCATGAAAAATGCACTCGAAATGCTTTCAAAAAGACTAAAACATGCTGGATTTGGTTCTAAAGGTGTTTCTGAGTGATTTTAAGCAAAGTCAAATTTTGGCCAAAATTTTAACAAAATGCAAGGCTAACCCCTTGCCGTTTTTGTCAAAATTTTGAAGTCTGATTTTTCATCAAAAATGCACTCTAAATGCTCTCGAAAAGACTAAAACATGCTGGATTTGGTTCTCAACGTGTTTCTGAGTGATTTTGAGCAAAGTCAAATTTTGGCCAAAATTTCAATAAAATGCAAGGTTAACCCCTTGCCATTTTTTCAAAATTTTTAAATCTGATTTTTCATGAAAAATGCATTCTAAATGCTCTGGAAAAGACTAAAACATGCTTCATTTGCTTCATTTGGTTCTCAAGGTGTTTCTGAGTGATTTTAAGCAAAGTCAAATTTTGGCCAAAATTTTAACAAAATGCCAGGCTAACCCCTTGCCGTTTTTGTCAAAATTTTGAAGTCTGATTTTTCATCAAAAATGCACTCTAAATGCTCTCGAAAAGACTAAAACATGCTGGATTTGGTTCTCAACGTGTTTCTGAGTGATTTTGAGCAAAGTCAAATTTTGGCCAAAATTTCAATAAAATGCAAGGCTAACCCCTTGCCATTTTTTTCAAAATTTTTAAGTTCGATTTTTCATGAAAAAAATGCACTCTAAATGCTCTCGAAAAAGACTAAAACATGCTGGATTTGATTCTAAAGGTGTTTGTGAGTTATTTTGTGCAAAGTCAAATTTTGGCCAAAATTTAAAGAAAATGCAAGGCTAACCCCTTGCCATTTTTGTCAAAAATTTAAAGTCTGATTTTTCATAAAAAATGCACTCTTCATTCTCTCGAATAGACAAAAACATGCTTGATTTGGTTCTAAAAGGTGCTTCCAATGATTTTGAGAAAAGTCAAATTTTGGCCAAAATTTCAACAAATTGCAAGGCTAACCCCTTGCCGTTTTTTTCAAAATTTTGAAGTCTGATTTTTCATGAAAAATGCACTCTAAATGCTCTGGAAAAGACTAAATCATGCTTGATTTGGTTCTAAAGGTGTTTCTAAGTGATTTTGAGCAAAGTCAATTTTTGGCCAAAATTTAAAGAAAATGCAAGGCTTACCCCTTGCCATTTTTGTCAAAAATTTAAAGTCTGATTTTTCATAAAAAATGCACTCTAAATGCTCTGGAAAAGACTAAAACATGCTTGATTTGGTTCTAAAGGTGTTTCTGAGTGATTCTGAGCAAAGTCAAACTTTGGCCAAAATTTAAACATAATGCAAGGCTAACCCCTTGCCATTTTTGTCAAAAACTTTTTCATCAAAAATACACTCTAAATGCTCTCGAAAATATTAAGATATGCTTGATCTGGTTCAATAAGTGTTTCTTTTCTATTTGGAGCAAAGTCAATTTTGGCCAAAATTTAAACGTTTCGCAGGGTTAACCCCTTGCCAATCTTTTGAAAAATGTTGATAATTAAATTGTCAGCAAAAATAAACACTAAATTCTTCAGTAAAGATGAAAATAAATAGTTTCATTTGAAGGTCATTTTTAAGTGAATTGAAAACAACATATCCGAACCTCATGAATTTATTAAACATTATTAATATACATAAAAAATATGAATATGTATAACATTTGATAAATTATTCTGCAAAATTCCTTCAAGGATTTCGTACCTGGACAAACTAACACTCTTTTCACCAGAAGATGATCTTGAAGTTGCAGCCTTTACAATCACTGAAAAATAAACCAAACAATGAAACTGAATAAAAAATGGAAAGATTCTTGAATGAGGGAGACATGAAATACTACGATAAACTCACAACATGCATTAATAACTATTGGATCCCAAACTGTGAGATATATTTGTATATTGCCCCACCTTTTGGATCTCATACTATGATAGGCACTACTATTGGATCACAAACTGTGGTATATTTGTATATTGCCCCCAACTATTGGATCTCACATATGGTATATTTGTTTAATATTGCCCCCACTATTGGATCTCAGACTGTGATATATTTATATTGCCCCCTCTTTTGGATCTCATACTATGATAGGCATCACTATTGGATCACAAACTGTGGTATATTTGTATATTGCCCCCGACTATTGGATCTCACACTATGGTGTATTTGTTTAATATTTCCCCCACAACTGGATCTCAAACTGTGGTATACTTGTATATTGCCCCTGATGACTACTGGATGTCCCCGGCTGTGACCAGCTCAAACCACTGTCTCAGAGCGTCACTCAGGATCTCCGGCATGGAGTTGATGTCTTTCAAGATGATGTAGAATGGGAATGGGAAGTGCTCCATGTAAGTGCTGATCTCGGGCATCTGGCCGGCCCCGCTGAAGATGGGCACCTTGATGTCCAAAATAGAATCCTGAAGAAGAAGAGAAAAGAAAGAGAAAGAGAGATTACCATCAACAAATACAATCAAAATTGTGACTCGCTTTGAAAAAATATGTCTGATGTGGTATAGTACACAAATATTGACTGCTTCCGGTGCTGCGGTAAAACCAGTTCCGCAAAAATTAGTATGTTGTGGTATAGTGAACAAATATTGACTGCTGTAGGAGGTGTAGTAAAAATAACTACACAAAATTGAAGTCTGTTGTAGTATACATGTGGTATACAAATATTGACTGCTTCAGGTGGTGTAGTAAAACTAGGTATGCAAAAATGAGTCTGTTCTCGTATATTGACTGCAGTGGGTGGTGCTGCAAAACTACCGATAGCTTCAACAAATTGAGTTTGTCGTGGTACAGTATACAAATATTGACTGCTTCGGGTGGTGTAGTATATGTAAAGCTAACTCTGCAAAATGAGACAGATGTGGAACAGTATACAAATGTTGACTGCTTCGGGTGGTGTAGAATATGTAAAGCTAACTCTGCAAAATGAGACAGATGTGGAACAGTATACAAATATTGACTGCTTCGGGCGGCATAGTAAAACTAGCTCTGATAAAATGAGTCGGTTGTGGTACAGAGTAAAATTTATTAAAACCCCCAAAAATCTGAAAATTGCAGAAGGACTTGCATCCCTGTATCTGGAAGATAACAAACCTTATTTTCCGGATTGTCGAGTGCCACAAACACCAGAAAGACGTTAGCATCCCTGGCCCGTCGCACGGCTTGTTTCACCGCCTCCATGCCTTCGAGAAACAATCCCCGTCCATCCGAGACGACTAGAAGGAGCTGCGACGTCTCCATGTGAGCAGTGCTTGACTGTAGACGGGAGCGGGCGGACAGCATGCTCGCTGTGGCGTAGTTCAACAGCTGAGAAAGAAAATTCATAATAAGAATTCGTAGGTACATTTTGTGGGCAAAATTTGATAAAGATAGACTCAAAGATACGATCTTCCCATTCCAATGTTTAAATATTAGTTCTTTCCTATCAAAATCCTTTAGTGAAGATAAAAAACCCTTAAGATGCTATTTGCATGGGACTGTAACCTATGACCTATGACCTAGTTGTCTTATGACCAACATTGACTGGGAGTGGTAATGGTGTTCTACACTTGACAAGCTATGAACACAAAACAACTAAAAAGCAAACTGGGTCATATGTGTAAGAGTCATAGATGAAAGCCCAGAAAAAAACAACCACAACAAAATATCTCCAACCACAACAAAGAGTTGTTTCAATTTCAAAACAGCAACTACAGCGTTATTTTGAATAGGCAGAATTTGCAGCCTGGGGTCTATAACCCAAGACCATTTGTAACGGTCCGAAGACCATTACCAGGTTCCGATGGAAGGGGAAAGGGATTAATTCTTCATCTCCGACTCTCGGTTACGTCTTAATCATTTTATTTACAACGGCAAGGCAGAAGCATGGCCAACATGGCCGAAGGCATGCACAAGAGAGCAAATCTATAAATAGTTTACCCACAATGCACCTCTCAATCTATGGTGAACTCAACATGACATGAAGTCACATAGAATGTCTTTTTTTTATTGCCAAACGAAAGAAAAATGGAGTTTAGTTGTTTCGAGAATGCCAATAAAGGAGATTGATAGCCCGATGATTCAGCACTGGGGTGGTGGTCCAGTGGTTTCAGGTTCGACTCCTAGTTTTGCTAACTTCTCTCCCAAGTCATTCCTGATTTGCTACCAACATTCAATTTGACCAACCTGCGCAATCTTAGTCTTGTGCTGGGAGAACGTGAACTGCCGCAGGATCTTGGCTCCGGACTGGTCGGTGAACTGCTCATGGAATGGGTGGAGGAGTTGAACGGACTCACCAAAGCTGAAAGGAAATTAAGAATCAACAAAAAGGGTAAGATTACGACCAAAGGCAAAACATGTTTGTGAAGGGCCGTGGTCCAGTGGTTATGGTGTTCGACCCATGTGCCATGGGCATGGTTCATGGGTTTTGAAGTCTTGCGGGGAACATGGTGTTTGTGTCCTTGGGCAAGACGCTTTATTACAATTGTCTCTCTCCACCCAGGAGACTAAATGGGTACCTGTGAGGGTAGAGACAGGATTGCGCTGATCTCTGCTGCAGAAACTGGTCTCATGGCCTGATGAACAGGGGTAATAACTGTGAGGCGCTTTGAGACCTAGCGACACACATTATTACTAAGCGACACATGTTATTACTCTATTTGGATTTACGAATACAAGAGACTTGGGAAAAAGTTTAAAAATAACTGACCTGCACACGGCTAACTCTCCTGCTTCGAGCCAAGTCAATGCATTACTGATGACAGCTAAGGACTCGAAGGCAAGCTGTAAAACACGGGGGCGTGGTGGAATAGAAAATTAAACAATGTTGAATGATAACACACATTTTTAAGATTCACCCTATCACATATATTCCACAAAATCTATTTTACTTATAACAGAAATTAACCCTCCCTATCAAACCTAAAATAAGTATACCAAGAGTGGGTATTAAATTAAGACAAATGAGTGAATCTGTGTACCTGTCTTGACCGATTGTCAGCCATACTCGACGAGTCGTCTACCGCCAGGAGTATCTGGTACTGTCGCTTGCTGGGTTTGGTACGACGTAGCCAGATCTTGTCCTTACGGAACCCGCTCGCGATGTACGGGATCACCTTGCGCATGTTGATGCGCTTACCTGTGCGAAAGTCACCCCTGAAAGGGCACAAAGGATCAAGTTTACCATTAAATAATTGTACTGGAAGAACCAGTTGGTGAACACTCAACATTTCAATCAGTGTGTTCTGGTCATCTTCAGAAATGCATCTGTACTCATAGATTGATCACTTCTTATCAGCTTCAATGAACAACTGTACAGGTCTCGTAAGCAGGAGGTCGTGAGTTCGAGTCCCACCGAGTAGTGTGGGAATTTCTTCTCACAAATTCGCACGAGACAACACAGAGCATACAGTGTTTATAAAAATTACGTCGGGGAAGGGCAAAACCAAATTGAATGTGCAAGTCTAGTTTCTTGACTGGACTACATTACCTGAGCTTGGAAGCCCGGGTTGGCTCCAGCACCAGTCTCAATTGCTCGCAGAGGTCACGAGCCAGGCCTGAGGTCAAGGACTCGTAGCGATGCCACGTCTCCTGCGCTTCCTTCTCCTAAAAATAGAAAACGGCAGAACAAAAAAAAAAGACGTAAATAAATAATGTAATGTACCCAAAAACATATTTTTGTCTCTTGCGCACGTGTACATGTATAGCTTTACGGTAGAGGACAGACACACAAAGGGAGAACAAAAGATCCTTTCAGTCCTCGAGCGTTGGGTCTTTTGTTGAAAACAGTCCTCGGTTGTATGGTTATGTGCTTAGTCTATGGGAGAGTGTTATATTACAGGGACAAAGGGAAACACAAAGCATTGTCCTCGGGCGTATAGAAATTCATGACCGGGTGTGTGCGAGTTTGTTTCTGCATTCAATAGGGGACGTTGAACAATAGAGGACAATAGGGTCCCCAATTCCCGAAGGTCTCCGATTTGGATTCATGAACAAAACATATGGGAGTTCTTCCTAAAAATTAGTACAAAAAAAGAGGGACAATAGGGGGTCCCTGATTGCAGGCAAATACACACTTGTGTACGGTTGTTTATGGTGTAAACTGAGGACACATACGTGCAACATCATCGATGAATCGAGGACAGGAACCAAATTGAGGACGACCTCGGTTAGAAAACGTGTACAAAACCAATGAGAGCTGTTGCGAAAAGTTACGAAGTACAAACAAAGGAAAAGGGAAGAGGAACAAAAGAAAATCCTCGATTTACACCACAAACAAACGTGCCTGTGTGTGTGGTTGTGGAAAATAATAGTGATCTCAATTTCTAAGTTTGAAACCAAGACAGGGGGACAAACAATTATGCATGAAAGGAAACTAAATTTTAAATTTACGTACTTCGTCAGCTGTGCCCTGCTTGTGACTGAGCATGCTCAGTTGCTGCTCCATCTCCTGCCGCAGCGCTTCCAGCTCGTCCATCGTCATGACCTGCTGTGGCATTGCATCGTGGGATAGCAGGTCAAGGGTCGTGTGGATGCTGGAGGACTGAATTTCACTAGTGTCCATTGTACCTGCGAAGAGAAAGTCAGATTTTTTTTATCTCTACACCTATGTTGTGTTCCAACAGGAATATAAAAACCAAATGGAAGAGCCAGTTTTCTAATGAGTGGGTAGTAGAAGGCATTGTTACCTTTGACTCTGGTGGCTGTGCCATCTTCTGTTGCCTCTCCCTCTGTCACATCTGGGTTCGGCTCGTCGGTCTCATTCTCAACAATCCGCCGCTCTCCTGCTTTTATTTTGGTTCCTGGTAGCTTGTCGATTCTTTCAGGATCCTTCGGAAAAGCAATAAATAAAAAATGAATAAATAATAATAAAATCCACTTTTCCTGGATTTTGTGTACTGGAGACAAACATTTGTTTATAATTGTTCTGACTTTGGTTTTATTTTGATTGTTTAGTTTAGTTTTTAAACCAGCCCTTGAAAAGCTTGTGAATTTGTTGTCACAAGCTTTTGAAAGTTTTAACAAGCTGTCACAAGCTGTCACAAGCTGTCACAAATTGTCAAAAGCTGTCACAAGCTGTCACAAGCTATCACAAGCTATCACAAGATATCACAAGATATCACAAGCTATCACAAGCCGACACAAAATGTCACAAAATATAAGCTGTCAAAAAATGCCACAAGCTGTCAAAGGGTGTCAAAAGCTAACATAAGGTGTCACAAGCTGTCAAAAGTCGTCAAAGGCTATCACAAGCTATCACAAACAGTCACAAGCTGTTACAAAATGCTACAAGCTGTCACAAAATGCAACAAGCTGTCAAAAGCTGTACAAGCTGTCACAATCTCTCACAAGCTGTACAAAGCTGTCACCAGCTGTCAAAAGTTGTCACAGGCTATCACAGGCTGTCCGAGATGCCAGAAACCACCACAAGCTGTCACAAGCCGTCACAAGCTGTCGGAAGCCGTCATAAGTTGTCACAAGCTATCACAAACTGACAGACTCACCGAGTTTACAGTACTTAACTCACAGCGATGGGGTAAAAACCCCAATTTGAAAAATCCTGTAAACGTCAATGTCTTAGAGCATATGGCACACATAAACTTCTACTCACGTCGTTCTCTTCTTTCTGATCATCCAGTGGCGCAACCTCCTCGTCCGTTTCCATAGCAGCCGCATCTTCCTCCTCCTGGTTGGGCGTGGCCTGTTCCTGCATCAGTTGATCCTCTGATGCAGCGTCCATGACTTGAGTGTCGTAGCGGGAAAAGGCATCTTTGATGTGCTCGTACAGATCCGAGGTTTCGTCTTTCTCATTTGACTCATCGTTTTGGTTCTGATTAAAAGAAACGACAATCGAGAAAATATTTCAATTATTTCACAATCAAACTTGGATTAACTGTTGAAAAGTTGATGCTTGTGAAGGCCGAGACAACAAAATTCAGTGTCACAGAATTTTAAGTGAACTAATTAATATTTAAACAACTTTCCTAAATAATTTCTTTCCGCTATGACAGAAAAACTCTCAGAAAAATTCTGGTATACTCAGAATATTTTCAGGAAGTTCAAGATAGTTTTAGGGCCCTTTTTGGTGATTTGATTTGGAGTTTGTAGAAAATATAAGAAACAATAACACTTTTGTCTTGAAAATTTCCAAAACAATGTGGAACAAACATAGTCTCAGTTGTTTTATGCCGCCAAGGAAAATGAAGATAAACTCTGGCCTAACGAGTCATATAAGCTCAAGACCAGTTTTACTTATAGCTCAGTTGGTAGAGCACTGGTATGTTATTTCACAGGTACGAGGTTCACATCCAATGAGAGTGAATTTTCAAATGATTTTGAATGATCATGCTACTCTGTCCTATTAACCTATCGCGGTAGAATCGCGTCAACGCAGCTTGTGAAATATTGTCCGATTACACGATATACAAATGGACGCAGAACGCGCAAAATCTGAGACAAACAAAACTGAACCTACAAAATTCTATGGGGTTGTCTAAGGGATCTGGCTAACTCGTAAACGGCTATAGGTCAATTAAGCAAGTGTGCATTGTCACACTAGCTCAAGAAGACTTATAGCTCAGTTGGTAGAGCACTGGAACAGAATAAGGGGGTCCACATTCGAATCCAACCATAGCAATATTTTTTCTTAAATCTTGCCAGAGTAAATCTTATAAAAAAAGGTTCAGATCATCACCTCTTCATCAGCCTTTTCTGAGCTCTCGTCTGGTGCGTCCATGGTTCTCAGCCGTTTGTGCACCCTCTCCTCTGCCGAGCCCAGGCTGCGGTCTGCGTCTGATTGGCCCGGCTGACGCTTGTAGTTCTGCCGCTGCTCGGACCGGTTCTGGCGCGGGAGGGTCTTGGAGGGAACAGCGCCCTCGTGGCCCTCCTGGAGGGAGGACTCGGCGCTCCCGACGTTTTCTTTCTGTTGAAAGAAAATTGAACCAACAATTGGTTGCGAATTTTGTTTTATATCTCCAAAAGTGTAGTGAACGTCTTTTTATCCATACAAGAAAATTGGAAATTGGGGAACATCCAACATAGGGCTGGATAGCTCAGTTGGTAGAGCACCGGAACGACATCACAACCCTCCAAGTTTGGCAAAACAACTTTTGCCCATAGAGTTAGCACCCACATTTGAAATTCCTTGGAGGTAATTTTCTGTGGAGTGTGGATAACACTTCCAATCCCTGCACAATTTTTTTGTGTGGTTTAGCTCAGGGCAAGCAGGCAGATATTCAGTCATGCTTCACTGCTCTCCACAGTGCTGTTTTGTGTGCAGTGACTCTTTGTGTCACACAGTTACTTTAACACTTAATATCCCTTCATCTGAAACTGACCAGCAGGGTTTTTAACCAGATCACGTCGGATGACGTGTATACACGCAAAGGTTTTGCGGTATTCGGAATGGATGACAGATAAACACGCAACGAGCGAGGCCGGAAATATCTGTCTGCGACCCGCTCGCAGCGAACGAGGCCGGACATATCAGGGTGTGCTACCCGCAGATGCCGCCTTGCCCCTGGCATTGAGGCTCGTAAAAACAATCCTGCACCTGGGTCTGGTCAATGTCAAAATAATCCCGGCGCGAAGTGGTTAAAAGGTTTTACATATTGCTCTAAATATAGACTTCCCACTAGGAGGGTGAATATCTGTGCCAAATTTTCCCCCTTTACACGTAAAAAAATTACTAAAAATGATTACAAAATGATCAAATAGCTGAAACCCTTCTGTACCTCCTTGTTTTTTTCCTCTTCCGATTTCCCAGCATCCTCCTGTGCCACTTGCTCCTGCACCACTTCTGTCTTTTCCTTGGATTGGCCGTAGTTCTCGGCCGGTTCCGGCATGGCCTGTGGGTGGTGTGCCTGGTCTGGCTGGTAGTCCGCACTGGAGTCTTCCGGTATCGGTTCTTCGTTATCCTCCTTTGCAGTGGAAAAAATCAAATAGAAAAATATTGAGATGTTACTTATATCTGGCCATAAAACTATTTTTTTTTGTCAGTAGTACCATTTGTTCTGTATCTCATTGGTCTGAAAGTACACTTCAGTTTCTAAAGGCGTAAATAAAACCCTCGACAAATATTCTGGGGAGAAAGCCCACAGAATCCGGTACTGAAAACCCAATTTTACAGAACTTAACACCAAATCAAGTTAAGATTTGAAGTATAGGAACGACCGTACAATGCTTAATGTCCAATAAACCTTGTTAACGGTCCGTGATCGTGAGTTTGTGTGCTTAAACTATGGGAGAGTGTTATGTTATTGGGACAAATAGGGGAAAGACAATGTCTTGTCCTCGAGAGTGTAGTAAAACACGACTGTGTGAGTTGAAATGTGTTCAACATGTGTGAATATTGCACCGCAAATGCTTTCTGTAATGTCATAAAATTTTCTTTGGATTCAAACTTTTGCTTCCAAGTATGAACTTGTCTGAGCGCCAATTTACCCAGATCACATGACACGACCAATAATAATGGCAGCCAATAAAATTCCATAGTTTAACATGGGCTGATTTTTTCGGTCGATGCCTCATTCACAAGTTAATAAGTTATGTATTGCTAGAACAATTGCAATTTAGAAAAGGGATCTATTTTTCAGGATGAAACTTGAAACTAGCACGGGGACGCAACTTTAATATGTGATAAAGTAGTTTCCGCCCACATCTTACCTGAGGCTCCACCCCTACTCCTCCCTTCTGATCTCCATCCTCTTCATCAACCTCATTCCCATCTTTATCATCAAGATCGTTCCTTCCTTCCTCCTCCTCCTCCCCTCCGCTCTCCGACTCCGCCCCCTCCTTGCCTTCCTCCATCCTGGGTTCATTTGGCTGGTCCCCTTCCTCCTGGTTCCCTTCCTCCCCGGTATCCTCCTTGTCGTCTGTGGTATCCGGGTCGGTACCGGGATCCTTTTCATCCGGGAGTTTTGTTTCAATGTCAAATGGGTTGCTCTCATCTGTTGATTAAAAGAAAAGAAAAACAGTCTTTGGCCGTGAATTTTTGTTTGAATTTTGTTGACATTCCCTGTGTATGAAATTTCTTTTTTATATTCCGATACCAAATTGACTTAGTCCCATTGTTGAATAAGTAATAAGAAACAAATTCATTGCTGCTTTTTTCCCTCAACTTTGGAGGTATATTTCTAAATGGTTATCAAAGGTTTTGTTTATCACAAATTCAGATTTCTGGTGTCTGAAATAGTCTGTCCCTTTTCTTGGTTGATTCACAGCAAAACATCACACAATATTGCAGCATTTCCACATTACATTATCATGTTGTTGTTAAACCCCTCATAAGCAAGTGTTAGAAAACCCTGGCCAGACTTTAACCTAGGGGCATTCCCATCAAATGAAAAACCTCAACGCCAAAACCTCTAAAAATCCAAATGCCACAAACGAAACATGTAACGGTCAATCATTTTGAAGCTTATTATCTGTTTTTTATTGAAATATAGTTTACTTCTAACAATGTTCAACAGTTATTATCTGTATTTTATTGAAATATAGTTTACTTCTAACAATGCTCAACAGTTTACGTGTTACTTTTAACTGAAAAAATTAATTAATAAATGCACAAAAAAGAAAAATTTGTCTGAGTACGTTCGACACCATGAAGCCGATTTCTACTACAGCAAAAAAGTTGGATGAATAATTTCTTTTTTGAATCATTGTAGTAACTGATGCGTTTTGTCAGAATTAAAATCCACTTCATGATTATAACTTTTGTTATGCACACTGTTGGATTGTCCAAAATGATTGTTCAACACCGTGAAACTGCCCGTAAGTAGACAAATGCAAGGCAATCTACTTAATAGCAAGGGCATTGACTGACCAACCAGTCAATGGGAATATCTGAGCATGCAGTTCGCTTCTCACCTTGGTTGTCTGCGGCCCCTTCTTCATTTTCCTCGTCCATTTTCCCGCCGTCCAGATTGAGATCGTCCGGAATGTCTAGATCATCGGGGACGGGAGCCTCTGGTGGCTCATTGGCCTTCCGTGGGTCAACCTCATCATCGTTAAATTCACCCTGAAATAGACAAACAAAAACCACATTTTCCTTTAAATCGTTTTGCAGTCAATAGCATGTTCGTTTAAAAAGCCTAAAGGTTCATACAGCACGTGAATGCGAATGCGAAGTGCGTCTGACGTCATGAAACCTTCGTTGGAAATCCACCAGAGTTGAAGTGTTTTCATTTTTTTTGTACAGAACTTCTTAGCATCCGTCATGTGCATGCGTTAGCTTGAATACAGCATCCGTGAGGTATGCTTGAAATTTTCTGGGTAGCGCTGCCGATGTTCTAAAGACTGGATTTGAGTCATCTTGTTGATAGTGACTACTGCTGCAGCGGCCTGACCACATTTGTCATTGACCGGCTGTATTGGGGGAATACAATCTAACTCCAGTTTTTGGACAGAGAACCTCAACTAACAACCGCCTTTGAGGTTTGCTCAGAATTTTCTGGGTAGCGCTGCCGAAGTTCTCAAGACTTTATTTGATTCATCTTGTTGATAGCGACTACTGCTGCAGTGGCCTGACCACATTTGCCAGTGACAAGCTATATAGGGGAATACAACCTCAACCAACAACCGCTTATGAGGTATGCTCAGAAATTTCTGGGTAGCGGTGCCGAAGTTCCCAAAACTGGGTTTGATTCGTCTTGCTGATAGCAACATCGACCACAGTTGTCAGGGTCCAGCTGTATTAGGAATAAAATCCAGATCTGGTCTGGGACCAAGACTACCCTCTCTGCCAATCAGGATCTCTTTTCATCGAGACTGGGCTACATTATTCCATTTTCTTGGTATCTCCCCCCCCCCCCCTACTTACCTCATCTTGAGGTTCCAGGTTGTTAGGATTCTGATTCTCGTTGTTCTCTCCCGTTTCATCTTCATCGTCCTTTCTTTGTTTCTCATCGTCTCCTTTGTCATCTGCAGCTCCTAACAAAATAAAGAACATGGCAATTTTGGTGAAAGTTTTCTCCCAAATAACTTGAGTGTGATTCTTTTTCCAAGGGCCTATCACTTCTGCATACGGTTTATTAATTTGGAACGCCCATGCAATTTTCGCAACTACAATTACTTTATTGTTCTTACGAACATTGAGTGCTAGGTTGCAACCCACATGTGAATGCAGTATCACATCACTAATAATGTCTTCTGATTACATAAAGTTTTGGCACCCAATGAGAACATGAAATTGGACAATTTGGAAGAAAACAAAATTAACTGGTTGGTCCACTTTGAATGGTGATTCACAGGTCCCAGGTTCGAGTCACGCTTTAACAAATTTTCTTTTACTCAATCCAAACTCAATTTTGAATATTCTAATTGGCATTTAATTGGGAGTGTGGCCAAGTGGTTAGGGTTTGTGACTCCTGATAAGAGGTCAGGGGTTCGAATCCTGCTGCTGGTCATATATTGTGTCCCTGGGCAAGCCACTTTACCCCACTTGCCTCTCTCCACCCAGGAGTATAAGTGGGTACCGGCATTAGCTGGGGAGTAACCTGCGATGGACTGGCATCCCATCCAGGGGAAATATAAATATTCTCAGTCGTTTCATGGCAAGGAAACTGGAGACAAACGCCAACCTGGCGGGCCACATTGGCTCATGAAAGGTTGAACTTTACTTTTTAGTTGTGTATTTACAAACGGAATACAGATTTCCATATTTTGCCAAAACTACTGTAACTACACTTAGAATTTTTTTCCAATTCCATACCTTTATTATCCTCCTTGGCCACCAAGTCTGTCTGTTTCTCCTCCCCCTTTCCTTCACCAAACTCCTCCTTCTTCTTCTCCCCCTCCTTCCCTTCTTCTTCTTCTTCGTCCTCCTGATCCCCCCACATCCTCTCATCCAGCATGTCGGCCCCCGGCTGGTCCACCTCACCCATCTGCTTGTCCATCTCGTGTTCGTCGTTATCGTCTTCATCCGAGTTTTCGCCATCTTAAGAAATGATGATAAAATCCAGATGAATTATGTTTGAACACAGGAGGCCTTTAGCTTGTCTATGGGACAGACGCTTGTATGGCAACTATTTTATGCATGCAGATTTTGCAAAACACTACGTCTTGATCTCCGGGTTTTAACTATTCAACGGGCACCTTTATATACCTTCCGCTCAAACCACATTGTAGCTGCGTCTTTCGCAATTCAGCTTCTGCTGTGAGAAGAGACGATTAGCCCCCACATTTATTTATAAATTTGATTCACTTATCCCGGCTCCCAGAGAATAGTTCTGCCTCATACCTTGAGGGTCAGCATCGTGCATTTTTCCTTGGAAGTCGTCCGACATCTCAATGCCTTGCTCTTCGTCCTTGATGTCAGGCTGGTTGGAGAAGTCTTCCTCTTCTTGCTTCTCGCCCGGTTTCTTGGTGTCTTGAACCTGCAAATATTCACCAAAACGTTGGGGCTTCAAATCTGTAATTGTGTCGCAAAACATTCTGCAAGTGCTTAACAAGTACGCATCAGACCTACACTGCTAAAAATGAGTTTCTTACATTTCTTAATATATGGAAATAATTCTTATTTCAAGAAACTGGGAGTGAGACAAGTAAACATTCCATTTTTTTTCTTTTAAGAATACCATTTTTAGCAGTGTAAATTTAATCCTGAAAAAAAAAAATTCTCACCTGTTCTTCATCTTCGATCTGGTCGCTGACATCCTTCATTCCTTCCCCTTCACCGATGCCTCCTCCTTCAATATCCTTGAACTCCGTTGCCCCCTCTCCGCCAAGCTCGTCAGAATACTCAGCAGGTAGACAGAATCCCTGAGAAATGGGGGGAAAATCACAGATAATCAAAACGATAACTATGGAACTGTTGTAACTGAAACTAATGAAAATTTACAAAGCTAGAATCAGCACACTTGGTGGCATGCATTATCTATGATCACTCCATTCCGAAAGTGTTTGATTTTTGTGAAGGGAGGAAAACCGGAGAGCCCGGAGAAAAACCCTCGTGGCACAGGAGAGAATCAACGAACAACTCTACTCACACATGGCCTGAGCCGGGAATCGAACCCGGGCCACATTGGTGAGAAGCGAGCGGTTTACGAACTCGCCATCCATGCCACCCGAAAAAGCCCATCCTAAAAAGTAAAACTGAAAATTGTTTTGAAACTCAAGTCAAAACTCTTGTACCTTTGAAGCGAGCTCTGTAAATATCCCAAGAAGTATGGACAGCAGTTTGCACGTTGTCCTGTGACACGCAACAGTCTGGTTCAGCGTGAAGGCTACAAGGCCCAAATACTGATGAAGTACAGGTACCAATCTTAGAACAAGCGCTACGCAGGTATTGAATTCCTACAGTGAAGAGAAAAAAAAACAAGGCACAAATATAACTTCATTCATGTCATTATACTTTTCATTTTTTTCAAATAAGGGATGTCAAGATGTAGGTTGCAAATTTCAAAATATCACATAAGTTTCTTTCGCAACCAAAGTGATCATTTGCTAACGACTAAATTTATTCACTGAAGGCATACATGTTTAGGATCATTACCATATTATCCCAACACCTAGTGAATAATATCAAAAAGCTTATTTAGATTAAAGATCGTATCGGAATTAAACTTCCCGTGAAATTATTCCATCTGGCTTGCTGTCGTTTAGAAGAAATCAAGAAATGTAGGTGGTTTCCAATGATCCGTCACTTCGGGCGATTCACAATGCAGTGCACCACCAAGAGTTTGAAATGGAGAGTCCATTTTTCAAGTTTACGGTCGACAAAACGCTGTCCATTTAAACGAGTGTCAGTAGACAACTTGAACTAATTTGTTATAGATAAGGGCATAGCGTTCTGACGCCTTACAAAAAACACCATATTGATAAAAAGAAAAAGGAAAGGGCAAACAGATACTCGCATCATACGCTATGAAACTACTGACCGGAAAAACCGACAATTTCAAATGTCCCGCGCTGCGAATTTGTCGACCATCTCCCACAATGCACTGGGAAAAATGAACTCTCCGTAGCAAACTCTTGGTGGCGCACTTCATTGTGAATCATCTGAATTGACTGATTTTTGGAAATAAACAGTGCTATTGACGAAATCATGTTTCACGATCAAAAGGTTGTGCATGGTTTTTCACCGTTTTCTCAAAAAGTTAAAAAATAATCAGAGAATTGTTTCCCCGTACCTTAGTTTCCCTTGTTGAGTGGCACTCGTCCCTCATCTCACTGATGTCACCTAGCAACGACCCCATGACCTTTGACACTCGAACCAAGTCAAGGGTCACGGCATCTTGACCTAAGGCCGTGCTGAGATGCTTGACAAGGTGGCCATCCTGGAGGTCAAACTCCTGCTCCTCTGTATCTGCGTATGAACGAAGAAGTCAAGAAATGTCAGACTAGAGACAAACTGAGAATTTGTTCCTTCATTTATTCTGAAACAGTTAAACCAGATTCAGACTTCTTGCAATTTTGAAGATAAAACATCAATTAGGATGTAGGCAAAACTCCTTTCTTTATATAATGAGATATGCCCTGAGAAGTTTGAACCACACCATTTTTCGAGACGTTCAAAAAGACTGTCTCTTAACAATTTGAAGTATTGAAATAAAGTTATCCGTGGTATATTATTACTGGGACTTTAAAAACAAAACAAGCTGGAGTGAGAAAAATTTTACAAGCTTGCTTTGGTTGGACTTGAACCCACAGCTTCTTGGCTACTCATGAAGAAGTCTTAACCACTTCACTGACCAATGCATACCTTCTTCAGGAGTGTCTCTCTCGACAGACAGGTTTTCATCCAGCATTGGCTGGCTCTCTGTTTTAGCCGGGCTGCGTGATTTGACTATGCTCTGCACGGCCAAGAGAACGCTGGCGAGAACTGACTCCGTCCTGTCGGCAAAGTCTGACAGATGATCAGACGAACCTGTGTTTTCAAAAAGATGAAATATTGGTTAAAGTTTACAGCATACAAATTATCTTTAAAGGGATAGTGTGGTTCTCATTTCAAACCAAGATCTTCCCCAGTTTTTGCCACATCTTTTGGTCGACAGGGTGTTTGCACCTTTAAAATCCAATATGGCAGCCACTTTAGCCAACACGTTGCTTCTGAGAGAGTGACATTTATAAAACTTAAACCTTGAAAAACCTTTCAGTCAGATTTCATAGTCCGAAAGCTTGCATGTTTTACAGAAAGTTTCCATTATTTAAATATTTGGATGGGGCTATCATTTTTTTAATTTTTAGCTTAACCAATTAACTCGCATGTGATGATTTCATAGTCTGAAAGCTTGCACATTTTACAGAACGTTTCCATTATTTACATTTTTGGATGGGGTGATCATTTTTTTTTTCAGCTTAACCAACTCTGATGTGATGCAAGTAGCCATTTTGTTGGAGTATAACGATCCAGATCCAGAAAAAAACAACTAATTTTTAAAAAGCTGCATAATTTTTTAATGAAAATTCTCAGAAATACTTGCAAAATTTCTGAGGACGCTAGACCCCTTTGCAAAGAGCGGCCTCACAGAAATCTGTTATTTTCTGCGATACGCACTTTCATTATGCACTTTTAGTGTAACTAAATTCACATTACTAAACCACTCTTCATTTGGGAGCACTCTGAGAAAGACGTGGGGGAGTGTGTGGCCTAGTGGTTAGGGTTCGTGACTCATGATCAGAAGGTCAGTGGTTCGAATCCAGCTGCTGGTCGTATATTGTGTCCTTGGGCAAGCCACTTCACCTCCACTTGCCCCTCTCCACCCTGGAGTACAAATGGGTACCGGCATTAGCTGACTCATGATCAGAGGGTCAGGAATTCGAATCCGGCTGTAGGTTATATGTTGTGTCCTTGGGCAAGCCACTTCACCCCAACCTGCCTCTCTCCACCCAGGAGTGTTAATGGGTACCGGCATTAGCTGGGGAGTAACCTGCGATGGACTGGCATCCCATCCAGGGGGAGTAGAAATATTCTCAGTCGTTTCATTTTTTTTTTTTACTGAGAAAGACGTTAATTTTTTTTCGGGGGGTGGGGGGTGGTTACAATTTAAGATCTGCAAACCTGGAAAAGAACCATCCTCTGGAATACAAATCCCATGAATAATTCTAAGTAACCTACCCTCCTCCAAGCCCGTCTCCATTTTTTCCTCCTCGTCTAAGTCTTCCCCACTTTCCTCTCGGCCGCACACCACCCGTCGCTTCCAGCGACCGTACCGCAGCGCCGTCTCGAACAGCCTCTCTCTCGTCCTGGTCAGGGTGGCTGCCAGGCAGGAGATCTCCCCACCCTGGGGGAGGGTGAAAAGTTGCTCCAGGTCGGCGAAGGTGTCCGCGACTGTCTCCAGTTTCTCAAAAGCGTCGTCTAAGAGTTCCAAGTCGTTCCTGTAGGAATTAGTGGAAAGGGTTACCGACTTGAAACTGAGTACAATGTCGTGGCACTGTTAAATATGCATATTATTGGTGCTTAAAGGACTGTGCGCATGTGTTCATGAAAAGTAAATTCCATGTGGTGCGATCAAGCTAAATGAGTCATTTAATTTTACAGATTTAAAAAGGGCACAATCTTAGCATTACTGCTGTAAAAACCGCATGCAGGTACCATCTTTGGTTCAAAAATATGGAAGTCGGAACACTAAGTGATGTGATGAAGTGATGTGATGAAGTGGCCCTGTTTTGGCCTGAATCTCCAAATGAAAATTCCCGACAAACGACTCATTTAGCCTGATCGCATCACAATTGTACCTACCCGTTATGCAACTAGCCAGTTATAGTTGAAAGCAGTGCCTATTCATGCTCTTATAAAAGTTAACTTGCAGTGAACTGAGACAGGATCTGTCTGAACAAGACCTTGCTTTGAATATAATAAAAGTCCAGGATTTTTGAAGCTTTCTCCAAATGTTTGCTCCAGCAGCACAGAGAGCAATGAATTACCACTGCTCTTAATCAATGTTTCCTTCTTACATTTTTTTTTTATTATATATGGTAAACACATGGAAAATATACTCACCAAAATAACAGATGAAATTCTTGATGCTGTACCAACTGACTTGCCCTGGGCTCAACAGTCTGGTTTGCAGCCTCTAGAATACTTTGGCATTCCTGTATCATCAATAAAACATGTTAACTGAATGACAAGAACATGAAGACATCAGAAGCAACCAGATAGGTAGATTTAACGAGGTTTATGAGAGAACATGTACATTAATATTATATAAAGGTTTATGCTTCTGACAAGTAAAAAGTAAAGTCCGTCCCGAGCCAATATGGCCCGTCAGGCTGGCAATATCTCCGGTTTCAGTGGCATGAAACGACTGAGAAACTTTCTATTTTCCCTGGATGGGATGCCAGTCCATCGCAGGTTACTCCCCAGCTAATGCCGGTACTTGAGTCACAAACCCTAACCGCTAGGCCACACTTCCCCGCGTCTGACAAGGGCCACCGTGAAATATAAGTGGCTCACAATGTGTTAGCCGCTAATGTTCCACAGGCACGCTGATAGCTGGCCACTGGCCGACCGCTAGTGGCCCACCGGTCAGCCATTACGTTGCTGTCAGTGGTCCTCCAGTTAGCTGAGGAGCAAGGAGGCTGGCTAGACACCTACGTTTGCCGATGGTGGACCGCATGTTTTGCCGTTGGTGCACCATCGGCGGACCGCTGGCCCTTGCTGGCTGGGTATTGATTAAACGTGACTCGAGTCAGCTGCTCTTTGTGGTTTATTTTGTATAAACCTGGGATATCTTACTTGCAGTTTCTCCCGGGTTTGTACCCACAATGCATCACCCTTCCTGACGGTATCCATGGCAGCCAGGCATTCCGTTGGCAACGGAGACGGTGCCGGTCCTCCTTGGACCTTCTCCGGGCAGCAGTCCAACAGCGTGAGATACTGGTGTGCTGTCTCCCGTGTCAGGTCAAGGAGGTCCTTGGAGGTCATTACCCAGGATGCCGTGCTCTGCTGATGGGGCAACGCGGGGTCATCACCATGGCGACCGGTTGTGGCTTGAAGCTTCTGCAACTGGCTCAAAAGGTTTCTACACAAATTATAAAAGAGAGCAAATATCACATTTAAAAAAAAAAATGTTGGTTATCTACAGAACTTGCCGCCTTTTTTTCTTAAACTTCATCTCATTCAGGCAGCTAATGGAATCATCCCAAATTTTGTACTTGGTAAAGTTCTGTGGATATGAGAGTCCACACCACTACCAAATGAGAGGCACATAGACAAACATCATTGTCTGACACGAACGGACTACCAATGATGATGATGAAAGTTCTGTGCATAGCACGGTTCAGTTCTAGCGAGCTAATAATAATAATAAACCACTCTTGTAAAGTGCATTCCGTCAATAAGACCCCCATGCGCTGCACAGACATACAGATGTGCAATCAGAGTAAATCTTTAACTACAAATTATATACAAAAACACGGCATATGTAAACAAAATAAAAACCAACACAAATTGAGGAAGATGATTGGCTGGAGAAATGTTCAAAGTCAATGGATAAACAGTTGGGTTTTGAGTGAAATCTTGAACAGATCCAGTGATTTGGCATTTCTGATATGTATTGGAAGCCGGTTCCAGAGTTCGGGAGCTGAAAATATCACTGGCCGTATGTTACGGTGTTCACAGTTCATCGTTGTAGAATGGTAGCAGCTAATAACATTGCATCACATTGTGTTAATTCACTGAAAAATCAATAAACCCATTGAGTGCTCGGGTTGCTTCGGCGCTACAGTTAGTAACAGGTAGGGCGGTTTTGGGCGCTACGGTGACTGAAAGGGTAACATGCTCAGCAAGAATCACCGAGAACCAATCAAAAACAATAAACATTGCGTGACATTTCAGCCAATAACCTGCTTCGTTTAGCAAATTTGTTTTTATGCTTAACACAATTCTGTGAGTCACGGGACCCTATTTAATGTTGCTGCTCAAACAGACAAAATTGCACAGCATGTTTCTGTGCTAAGGCAATGTGTAAGCCAGCCCTTGGACATTTTGCATTCCAGCTTAAACATGCGTGAGACCTATGTTTGATCATTGACGTCGTGTGCACACTGGGTTATTTCACTCCAAGTTTTCCATTCTTACCTCGTCTGTACCAGACCCTCAGTGATGCTGATGATGTCTTGCCTCTGAGTGGTTGCCAATAGAGACAGGTGCTCGGCGAATCCCTTGCAACGCTCGATATTGCCGATGCCCAACTCCTAGTATTCAAAACAAATAAAAAAGTAAAAATTTGAACAACTCTCATTTGTCTTATTCTAAATTTTTACGGAAATGTATCTTAAGAAGTGATCTTACACCTGTTCAGAGACAGAAAGATAAAAAACCTCCTCAAGTTTTGATGCTGCTTGGATGCACAATTTATTTGGAAGTGAGAATGTCATTTCATTATTGAATTTCATTCTTTAATAAATCTTAATTCTAAATTTCATTTAAAAAACTAAAAGTTCAGTATGCCACAAGCAAAGCCAGAGATAAAATGTTGCAATCAGACGCCACTTCAGCGGTTGCATACAAAGTCTATGGAGAGTCAAGAAAATTAATATTTCCTAACAAAATTGGAAATGTTTCTCAGTCCCAGATTCATGTCTTATCATCATTTTTTGCAATGACTGACCTTCATTGAGATGATATATGAAGAAAAAAGTGGCGTCAGGTTGCAACATTTTTTTCTTAAAGCGAAATTCATTTTAGCTTACATTAGTGCTTTGTCGTGATAAAAGTTCCCAAGAAACTAAGTCCTTCATATCAATTAGGAGCGGGCATCTTCAAATCTTGAAGATGTACACTCTGGGAAGAATTTTTGAAATTTTTTAGGAGTACCTTAGATGGTACTGCCAGGGCCATCTGCATTGCTGCTCTTCTTGCGATATTCTTGACGAAGTGATGCTGACATCCCTGCCACAGTGAAACAGTGTCTGTCTTGCCGAAGCTGAAAGGCAAACAAAACAGTCATTAAACATGAAAAAATACCTCAAACGAGACAAATATGCAATGGGTCTTTAGCATGGTAAGTGAAGTCGAATCGTATTTTATTTTATTTTATCGCAAATTGTTATTTTTTCTGGTGATGAAACCAAGGATTCCTCAAAAGCGCCTTAGCTAGGCACTGTAGAAACCTGTAAAGAGAAGGAAAACCCCAGAAGAATATTCTTGGGGAAAACCCACGGAATCATATAAGGACTGAAAACCCAATCCACATGTGGACCAGGGCAGGAATCGAACCCTGGCCACAGAGGTGGAAGGCGAGGAAAGTACCACATTGCCAACCTGACTCCCTCAAGTAAGTCTGTTGCATCGACATTCTAGTGCCACCTTTGTTAAGTATCACAAACTCAGAATGGGTGAATTTTCAGGATTATTTCTTATAATTCCTAATTCAGTTATGATGTGACGATGATAATACACCTTATTATGAATAGTGAATGCGGTACCCCCTGCTATGTACATCAGATTCAAACCAGCCAACCGATCCCGTTAGCTCGGTGGTTGAGTGGTAAGACATCTGCACCAGAAAGCAGGAGGTCGTGGGTTCGAGTCCCACCTGGGTGATTTTTTCAACTTTCACTCGGCAGGTAACACAATGAGTAAACAGTGTTTATACGTCGGTGAAGGGCAAAACCTAATATGATAATACACCTTGTTTATCATACCAGCTGTACTTGTGGCTTGGAGCAGTCTCCGCAATTAGTTTCTATGTTTCTTAGGACTGGAGTCTTGATGAGCCTAACTCAAGGCAAGTCAAGTAATTTTCTGGTATAAACTCAAATCGAGTCATTTACCTGTACTTACCACGATGGTTCCAATATAGTCATTCTATGCAATGCCAAGTTGCTTGGGATCGCTAACATTAAGCATGTACATTTATTGCTAATATAAGGAGCAACAAGATTACCTCAAGGTTTTGTCCTCTGTTTCCAAGGCGACAGCAAGATCCACTGGTGGCAGCAGCATCGCTCTGTTCTGATTGGTCGTTCTTGCCAGCGTTAAACCCTTCTTGTATGACAAACCTGAAATGACAGAATGCAAAAAACACCCAAAAAGTTAACTTACTTTAAACTGCCTGTGCAAGGCAAGCCACTTTACGCAATTCATTGCACTTGTTGGACACAGTACATTTCTGTCGCAATAATATGGCGGTCAATTTTGAGAACAGATACCACAGTTCTTTGACTTATAGTACCCGTGTCACATTTTGAGAAATTGAAGAAATTGGCACGATTTGAATTGGAAGAAACCCTCATTCTGAGGAAGACTGTTCTAGCTGAGAACATTTAGACAAAGTTATCAGGAATTTGACAGTCTGTTGAGAATTTCGATTAAAAAGAAACTTTTGCATGGTGGACATGTAAATTCAATAATAATTTTGCCCTTCACAGACATAATTTTTGAATCACGGCTATATCAGATTTAAACTGGCCATATGACCTCATGAAGCTGGGTGGTTGAGTGGTAAGATGTCTGCACTAGTAAGCAGGAGGTCGTGGGTTTGAGTCCCACCCGAGTAGTTTGTGAATTTTTACTCGCAATCTCTCAGACAACATTGAGTATACAATGAATACAGAATAACGCTGTTGAAGGCAAACATGCCAAATTGAATTTCGATCTGTTGCGACTGCCCAGACAAGGACTGGATGCTTACCAATGGTGGTGAGGTATCTGAACAGGTCTGCGAGAGCTTTTCTCTTCCGTTGCTGGATGCGACGCACTTCAGACTTCTGTTTCTCCTTATCAGCATCCTAAATGAAAAAAATACCAAGAACAACCATTATATGACAAATTGTAAAAAGAGTTTCTCAGTAAGCAAGAGTGCGAGAATCCATTTAGAGCAATAACTGTATTTGGCCAGGGAACTATGTTTTTGCTGTAACCACATGCTGTGAGGAAAAATTATGTAGATTTCCACTTGGTTTTCTTAAAAAAATTGGGCACTTTTTACTGCCCTTTGAGTTTTTGTAGCCAACGCAACTTTTAAATTTTTTTTTATTACCCCTGTTCATCAGGAATGAGACCATTTTTCTGCAGCAGCTCGAGATCAGCGCAACCTGGTCTCTACCTTCCCAGGTACCCATTTATACTGTTGGGTGAAGAGAGGCAATCGTAGTAGAGTGCCTTGCCCAAGAACACAAGCACCATGTTCCCCGTCAGGGTTCGAACCCATGCACCACGACACACGAGTCAAACTACATTGGACCACAGCGCCTCACAAAAATCCCTTAGGCCTTTTTTTTTTTTTACCTGATTTTTTTTGCTTCAAACGTCGGCTGATGACTGCAAATGGTGCCCGACTAAACTTAGTGCAAATATATGGGAGTCCAGAGAGGCCACAAAAAGCTTATTCTCGACCATAACCCAATCTAAAAACACATTAAAATTGTGCAGCAGCAGGATTCCAGTCAAACCAGTGAGTTTGGCGGTTTTGAGACATCATCTTTCATTGAAAAAAAAACTTTTTCATTTTGCCGACGCGCATGGTTACGGCGACGCGCGCGCATACCAGAAACCAGAGACTTTTTTTTTTTTGGCCTTAGTCGTGCAAACTGCCATGACCATAATTTACCAGTTACACTGCAATATCTATAGAATGTCCTCAGTTATTTCAGTAATGTTGCCAGATTTGTCAGAAAGGATATTATGTCCTTTGTCTGTGCAATCACATGTGAGTATGAATAAGAGATACACCATAAATATAATACAAATGCACTGAGCATTTTCATGTTTCTGTGCAATTGTAAGAGCGTAATTTATTCATATGGTCTTACCTTTGTGACATCCAAACCTTGCAGCTCTTTGACGCCTGACACAATTTCTCCTGAGTAATTAAAAACAAAAATGTGATTAAAATTTACGAGAAAGAACCCCTACAAACAATTTACTGGAAGTTTGTTCTCACATCTGGTTACACAATGGGCTGGATTTAGCCCAATCATTGGTTTTACGGGGTAGCCTATACTGGCCTCGTGGAAAAATTGCATATAGCCTCAATCCTGCAAATTCCTCCATTATTTCTTGAAATTGGTCCGTGGAGGGGTGACCACTGCCTGAATCCTGCAAACTCCTGTGGCAGTGACTGTCAATATGTTGAGGCTTGGCCAGTGACATCCTGGAGCAGTACAGAGGATTTCAAGCATAATCCAGGCCATATTTATGCATGGCTGAGCAAAAACAACACAAGGTCCAGCCCAATCACTAATGCACTTTTGCCAGGTAACCTCAATCCTCCAAATTCCTCCACTTTGGCAAAGTGGATTTTGAAGGATTCAGGGCGGTTAGGGTTAAAGATAAAAAAAATAAGACAACAATTTGATCATACACCATTTAGTAAATATACAGCATAGTTTCATACCTGTGAATTCATCCACTGCGACTGTAAGCGCAGGGTAGGGGCATTTCTTGAAGATAGATCGGCAGACTTTAGTCATGCGAGGTAGGAGAATGGGTAGCCTCGCATGTAAGGATTTATCACTCCTCAAAACGGTTGCAGGAGGTGGGATGATCTCTAAGTAGCTCTGTGAATAAGAAAGGTATTTAGAAAACTAGTTAAATGCATGACCAGACTTCATCATGTGCATTCTAAAAATGGTGGCAGCAGTGGGATCAGAGTATCTCTGTGAATAACAAAGGTATAATAGTACACTAGTTCTGATCTGATCCAAACACAATAATATTTGAAATAAGTACATGAAAAATCAAACACTTTTGATCTCAGGCTGTGCTCCGTGGTCATATATGGGTCGATGTGGCTGGCTGCCAGCAGGCGCTTTAACATGCCTGCTGCTCGACCGCGTTGTAGCCGCGTCCTTCGCAATTCAGCTTCTGCCTCCCAAATTATTACTATTATGAAAAAACGAAGTGATGTTTGAAACAGTCAAGTGCAACTTGACTGTGCAAGTCGTTTGCAATGCTGGATGCGATGCTGGATTCCAGGAGTCACTCTAGTCAATGGCAAATTTAACACAGAAAAATTAGCGCGTCTGTCACCAAAGACTATTTAGGTTGATTAAAGATTTGACGCAACTCTGGAATGCCCGTCTTAAACGGTGTTAAATGTACCTTGTATTCATCTGGTGTGAGGAAATCTTCAAAGCTGCTTGGTGTGGTACCTGCACTGTCTTCCACTGAGACCTCTTCCTTCTCTGCCACTTTGGTGTCTGTGAAGGCGCATCGTGCTGGCTCCTTCAGTTCGGTCTTGTCCCGAAAAAGAAAAAAAAAATTCCAAATTTACACTTCAGTTTGAAAACAAGTGCGAGTGCACAATAAGCTCTGGGCCCAATTTCATAGAGCTGCTTAAGCAGAAAATTTGCTTAAGCACGAAAAAACATTGCTTAGTAAACTTAGGTTACCGGCCAAACTCTATGTAATGTACATTGCTTGTGACTGGTATTTAGCTGTTGTTTACTTAGCATAACAATCGCATGGAGTTTTGGCCGGTAACCTGATTTTATTAAGCAAGACGTTTTTGTGCTTAAGCAAATTTTGTGCTTAAGCAGCTCTATGAAATTGGCCCCTGCAGGCCATGTTGCGAGAAGTCTTGCATGAAAGTCTTGTGCGAAATCGATCAAAGTGATCTGTGCCAGAGGTGATAAATGCGACACTGAAAATGGCGACGTTGACGGCACATATGGCACACCATACTTTTGGTGAATTTTCAGGACAGACCGACCGACCGACCACCAAGTGACATGTAGAAGCTTTTGCCAGTGCTTTAAGATTACATTTTTTTCCAAAATAACATCATCAGGGATAATTAACAATTATTAAGTATGTTTAGGGCATAAATAATACTTTTTAGACTAGGATATGCAAGTACAATGGACTTTTGTGTTTTATATCCTACCTCAAATTTCTTGCTGAACTTGTGTAGTGTCTTGTGGGATTTCTCGACGGCTAGTTTAACGGCCCAGAAACTGACGTCGTTCCAGCGGGCAATCTTGACAAAACCCTGGCCAAAAAAAAAAGAACGGAAAATTGTAAAAAGTGAAACTGTGTTTTATAATTTGGTGCAAATTGTTTGAGAAAAGTATCAAATATACTTGGAATTGCAACTGTAATCTTAATTTATCTAAGTTATACTGTACCTGTACCTGTAGCACCACTTTTAAGTATTTAGTATTAGGCTAATTTTGCACTTTCTTGTTTCTCATTCTTTCATTTTCTGTGTCATGTTATTTATTATAATTAATTAGAAATATCAACGTTCTTATATATAATTGCTGTTATTACGTACACTTCATTACTACGTTACTGTTTTTACATCGTAACCATGTATGATTATCTGTTTCTTTGTGTGTTTATTTTTGTTCCTTTGTCCTGTCTGACTGTTTCGTCCAATCTTTGTCCTAAGGCTTCCCCAGCACAAGCACATGCTTACCGGGGCCTGCCTCCATTTTCACCATTATTATTCTGTAATTACATACCTACCTAATGTTTTAATATTTTGTTTATTCTGCTTGTTGTGAATCGTGAAATGGAAATAAATGTCTTTGAATTGAATTGAATTATCCTGTTCATGTGAGTAAGATGTGGCTCTATGTGTCCAAAGTGGACATCGCTAATTTTGTGATCTTTAGGCCAAAAAAAAAATAAGTCGGTCTCTGGTCAGCGCGCGCGTCGATTTTAATCATGCGCGTCGATCTTTTTTTTCCCAAAATGTTCCGCGGTAGCTCCAACAGCGCCCTCTATTTCCGCACCTCCTCAAATTTTTTTACCAAAGAGCACCAAGGAATGGGAAATTGCACCAAGGCAAATGATCCAAAGCACCAAGGCAAATTATGGAGGACACCAATGTACATGAGGACACCAAAAAAACAAAATAGTACCCACCTTGTCTGTACAATCCAAGCTTGAAAAAAAAAAAAAAAAAAAAAAAAAAAAAAAAAAAAAAAGCCGCGTGGCCGCGTCAATTCTGGAACTTTGGTCTGACCAGAGACCGAAAAAAATATTTTTTTTGCCTTATCTGTTAAAAAAAAAAAATCTGGCTGTTTTATCAGACTTCTCGCACGAACAAGAATAAATTTGAGGAACTTAAACATGACACTGAATTAATCGTTTAACGATCATGCACATGAATATGTTCCTATTTTATAAAAGTCAAATGTGCCACTTCTAATAGAAGAGAACTGGTCGAAAATACATCATCCAATTCATTACCTTGAGTTCCTTTTCAATTGGAGTCCTTCGACGTTTGATTTCGGCCACTACAGCTCCCAAGAACTGCTTGTAGTAACAATAGAGGTTCCACAGGATACTCACCAACTCAACTGTAACGAATAAACCCGAATAAAAGACAGTAACATGATTGAAAGCAGTAAAATTTTGAATTAACTTACATGTTTATTTGAGGTCTAGGGTCAGCGAGCAGCGTTGTTTTTCTAAGTCAATCAGAGCAGTCAATGCCTTAGGCCAAAAAAAAAAAGTCTCCGGTTTCTGGTATGCGCGCGCGTCGCCGTAGTCATGCGCGTCGGCAAAATGAAAAAGTTTTTTTTTCAATGAAAGTTGATGTCTCAAAACCGCCAAACTCACTGCTGTGACTGGAATCCTGCTGCTGCACAAGTTTAACGTGTTTTTAGATTGGGTTATGGTCGAGAATAAGCTTTATGTGGCCTCTCTGGACTCCCATATATTTGCACTAAGTTTAGTCGGGCACCATTTGCAGTCATCAGCCGACATTTGAAGCAAAACAAATCAGGTAAAAAAAAAAAAAAAAAGCCGTGTCACCGCACCACTTTTTGGGCGAGCTCCATACCAGAAACCGGAGACTTTTTTTTTGGGCCTTAACTACAACACAGCAGAAAATTTACAATTACGACGAAACTGTCCCGTTCAATTCTCTGCAATGACTTACTCTGTTTTGGACTGCTTGGCTGCATCGCGACTTGACAGTGGAAGGACAGCAGCATCTGCAATCTCGCAGCGAACTCTCCGAGGGAGGAACCCTCCAAGAACTGCTCAAGGGCCGACACCACTGACTCGGTCTGCTCCTTCCAATCATTCCCTTCACATCCTGTCTGCGCATCTTCCTTCTCATCCCAGCGGCCATCTTGGTCATCTGTTGCCGTGGTGACGTCGGCACCGAGTTGTGACTGGAGGAGCTGGTAGATGTGGAACCACCACTTGTTGGTACTCTGCTCTTGACGATAGGCCACGGTGTCTAAACACGCTGACCAACACCTAAAAAAGAAACGCGGATACCATTCTTCATGGAGGAAATATTCACAAATAATTATAACCTTCCAAAAGATTGCAAAGGGGGAATTGAGAGGGACCACCAATATTAACCCAAAGGATAAACATGTAGTTAGGACCCCGTTCCATATCAGAGAACAGAAGGACGTTTTTATGTTTTGGGACTAAATACCTGAACATTGGACGATGATACAAGCAGGAAAAGTCACTTTGTGTGTTTGGAATCATGTAAATAGTTTGCTAAGATACCATGTTGAATATCAGCAAGCTTAATTTTGTGGAACGAGGGCAGGGTTCTGATTTACGAGGGAAATTATGGGGTTAAACGGCGACGAAGACAATCTGCATGACCCCCCAAAAAAAATCAAGATGGGGACAATGTCTCCGAGTGTAAAACAAAAGGTAAAAAAGTCACATTTTCTTCAAAAGTACTTATCAGAATTACAACAAAACATGAGTTAACCTGAAGAAAAAAGACAGCATGAAATTGACTGTCATTTGCAAAAGTTATTTTTATTTAACGGAACTTGTAAAAAAAATGGAGGTTTCCTACATGTTAACCACGCGATTACCACCCAAAGATACTAAGGGTTTATGTAAATAAATCAAACTAGTCACGCGTTCCAAACATGTTTCAATACTATTCTCTAGATGATTATCCATAGTTATGTGGAAATTAGCTAATTGAAATAAACTTTTGCATAACTCATTTTACCTCAGTTCAAGTTTCCGCCACTGTATGACCAAGTCTGTGATGTGCTCCAAATGTTCCCGCACTGACACCGCACGGCTTGCATTACTTTCCCATTCCTGAAAAAGAAAATGAAATTGGATGTATTCAAAATTTAAGGGAAGATACAACATTTGCAAACATCACAAAACGAAATAATCAAATTATCACAAAATACCTTACTGGATTGTTAGGGAATGACAGTCTAAAGCATCTTGTAAAATCGTGGCTCCTGGTGTGCTGACATTTTCAAGAAAAATGGTATTTTTCCAATGCTGGTCGGCCGACCAGCGTTGGAGAAAACTGGCTTTTTTCAAAAATTTCTCCTAATTTTTCATAATTAGTTATTCCGCGTATTCTTTGCAATTGATTACACAACTGTAAAAGAATACAAGCCTGCTAGACCGATTCTCTGACCTTACAATTCCCCTAAGTCTATAAATTCTCCGTTTCATCTTAAGTGGGGTCGGGGAACCAGACTACAAGAACATGAATGGTTTTCTTGGTTTTTCCAGCATCTACAAGCCCAAAACGTGAAACAAGTCATTCTAACATACATTGTATTTGCTATAACATACTAATCCTCCAAATCCATTTATTTCTGAAAATTGCAGCACAATCAAATGTTGTACATTCCCTTTAAACATTTGAGAGCTCACTTTATTAGTATCTGTTTGAAGATTTTCTGAACAGAAGTGACGTGACGGATTATTTAGTCCCTGTATCACCCTAAAACCACTCTTCCTGTTACTTGCTGCCTGTATCGACTGAAGTTCTGCCTAATCCATGACTCCACAACAATGTAATACAGGGTGTCCTGAAAATAACGGTGCATGTAAACCCCGCCATTTTTGCCAATTTACAATCGGAATTTACTGCAAATGCTTACACAATCTTCAAGGTTACAGATTTAGCTTGAGAATACTGTTTGTTTAATTAAGATTGCTTTTGTAACTAAAAAGAGATGTTTGAATAACCACAAAGCCAAAAAAACACCATTCTGTGCCACTTTTAGGAAGCGAGTGCTTCAAAGATCAGACAATGCCAGTATGGCTCTTTTGATAAGATTATCCCTATGGGTGTAAGACAAACATTCCATTCACATGACAATATAGGGTTTTGTTCTTATGTTGAAACAATTTAATAGTACAGACAGGTTCACTTCTTTAAAACTTCAACGAAAGAGTTTAATTAAATATGAATAAATATTGCACACTCTGCTTAAAAATGTTAAAATCACTAACAGTAAAGTGATTTGGTTAAGACTAGAACTATACTGGTTTTAACTACTTCACAGAAAATAACTATCTTTATTTAAATGTTAAAATGACAAAAAGAGTCACACGTATAGATTAAATGTTTACATAAAAAGTCACAGCCCTAAAAGGAAAGCCATTTTACGGACAACTCAGCCATTATCTCAGTAAATGTCAGCCAGTCAGAGTAGCAATGATAAATTAAATAGCAATTTGCCATAAGTACACAGCCTCAATTTGTGCATAAATTGGCTGACGGCGGTCAGTCGGAAATTGCCAGTTGGATTTTGTTTGTCTCCTTGTCAGTTTAAACGAAGATTTATCGTTCTTTGTTCTTCCGTGGCTATGCAGACAAACACTCCCTAGCTAGCCAATCAATAACCAAGGCCTAAACAGGGAACCAGTTTCAATTAAAAGTACTGCATGGCATTTTAACTGGTAACCTGTTTTTAATCAGCAATTTTTATCTGTGCTTAGCGGATCTGTGTCTTGCTTCCTGAAAGATATTTCACTCAATTCTTATTCATGAATACCTGCGACAGTTTACCCATTCCTATTGGTCGAGAGCCTGTCACGTGGGTGGTTTTAAATGGGTGATAAAAAACCTGCTGGCTGGTTTGAAACACTTAATTGACACAGGCAATAAAGACCTTCGTAATGGACTTGGTAATGGACTTGCCTTAATTGATGCAGTTTTTTAATAAATCTGTTCCGTTTTTGACGAGGGTTTGGTAGGTTTTGGCCTTTCCTGTCAATGTCAAGTCAACTGATGATGGGTATTGATCAAGAGTAATTGAGATATAATGAAAAAAGGTACTCAATATTAGTGCCGTATATGGGTCATTCCACCGGGTTGGGAAGCAGTGCATGTTACATCCATATATTTGGTTATATTATTAAAAGTATCAATGCATTCTAAACAATTGCTTAACATAATATTTGTCTGAGGGTGTTTCTGTATTTGAGAAAGTTTGAAATCATTTGAAAGTACTTTGACAAAAATATGAGCAAAAATGTATTAATTCGGACGTAACATTGACACCGTGTCAATGTTACATCCAAATATTCTTTTTTGGCCATTTTTGACACGTACATGTATGTAAAATATTACTCAAACTGACATTGCATATTTACAACTGGACACCTAAGCACCAAGAAAAGCTTTTGTTTTGGTATAGTCGGGGTTCAAACATAGCAGAAACAATACCTCAAGTGTGGATGTAACGGTGTAAAAATCACTCAATGGAAGTTTGACATTTGGGTTTTACACCGTGTAAATGTTACGTCCACACAACCAAGCTATCATTTCTGCTCCATTTGATACCTGACTACCATAATAAAAGCTTTTCTTGTTGTGTTGCATGTATAGTAAGAAGTACGCAAAGGGAATTTGGGTAATGTTTCGCAGAAATTTAAAAAAACAGGTACAAATGTCATATTTGGACTTAACACTGACACGGTGTCAATGTTACGTCCAAAATGACATTTTTTGCTCATATTTTTGGCAAAATACATTGAAATGATGTCAAACTTTCTGCAGTCGTGAAACACCCAACAGCAAATATTATGTGGAGCAACTGCTAGCAAGGCATTCATGCTTTTCTTAATATGGTCATATGTCACACTTTGTTCCCCAACCCGGTGGAATGACCCATATGAGTTGTGGAACTGACACTGGCAGAGTGCCAACATGGAATTGATGTCAAACCATTTACAGTTCGTTAGCCGTGTTCAATAATTTCTATTACAATTTGTCATTCACTGCCTTTGTAGGGACTTGGAGAATCCATCAGATATTGACTGGTGCAACAGAGCTCTTAAAGCAGGGAAATCTCTCCGCTAGGATTTTCTTTGCCGTTTGCCGATAAACCCGATGGAAAAGACAGTAAATGAACACATTGAAGGCACTATTGGACACTGGCAACCATGTAAGGGCGAACTCCAGCCAATGCGGGAAGGCTTTCCCTGTGAAACTCTCCACCATCTTCCAGACCACAAATGGCGTGTAGCAACCGCCGAACGTCAAGGTGACTAGAAGAAAGACCTTCAGAGCTTTGTTGTCCTGGATGTTCTTGGCTCCATTGGGGTCGTTTGCTCTGGCGCGTTTCTCATGTCGTCGGCTGATTTGAATCAGACGCGAGTAGAAACCTGTCATCACGACAGTCGGACCGATGTCGCAAACTACAAGTTGCACAACGTTCATCTGATACAAATCACTGTTAATATAACATACGGCTGAATATGGATAGTATTTGGCAGGAGATTGGAGCACGAGTTGTATAGGCATTAAGAATGAGAGTAACAGGGTCAGGATTGCAAGTACAAGTATCATGACGCGTCGCCGGGAGCACCAGATTGGGAATTTGTAGGGCCGGGTGACGGCTATGAAGCGCTCAACGTTCAGGCAAAAAAGTGAGTGAACTGACATGCAGGTACACAAGCTGGCCACAAAGGTGAAAATTCTACAAATTCCATCGCCAAACGGCCATCGGTCCAGCGCTGAAGGTATGATGGAGAAGAGTGCTAAAATGCCGATTAAGAGGTCGCATACAGCCAGAGACGTCATTAAAACTTTTGTGCTGTCGGCCAAGTTTGGTACGCGGCGCGTCACGGCGATGCAGAGTACATTTCCAACCACAATCAACATTCCGAGGAGTGTGATGAAGCACGTACGAGCAGCAACGAGAGGCAGGGAAAGTCCTGAAACTTCGGTTGCCACGGAGTCATTCATCTTCAAACTCTTTAGCTTCTCCAGCAGTTACGGAAAATTGCAAAACAAGTTTCACAGATTTTGTACATGTACATGTAGTTCATCGAATCTCTTTGCCCTGTAACAGTACTGCAGTTGGACAACTCAGAACAAACTCATGAAATTGATGTTTGTTTTCATGGAGTCATGCATAATCTTCAGCTTATCAAACAGTCACAGAGAAAAAACAGAAACAAAGATCCCCAAGCTCGTTGTTACAATGTACTTTGTCCTTCTCGTACCGCTTCAGAACCTCGGCTGTATTACACAAACTCCTCTTCCAAAGTTGTTTTTGGAAAAATTATCAGTTGAGCAAAAACAAGCTTGACTTCATCAGACTTCTAAAATCATTCCTCGTCTTGTCAGGAACGAAAAGTTTGATGTCTGTTTTACCCTGTTTATTTCATTTGATAAAGTAGGCAACCAGTTTGTAGCAGTTAGCATACTTGTAAATTGGCATCAGAATGGGTATTAAAACTAGTCTGCAGGATGTCCAAACGATGACAGATATCCATGAAGTGGAAAAAGTTTCTCATTTGCCAAGTGAAGAACAAATCCAGCACTGCGCACCAGATGCATCCAGTGCGCGAAATAGCGATTCAAAATTTTGGCAGAGCAACAATCCGTGCTTCGATACAAAACACGTCGGCGTTTGAACAAGGACTGACTTGTCTGGCAATCGCATACCCTAGTCACAGCTTATAAGGATAACTACCCTAAGCGTGATTGACACAGGCACCTATAGACCTTGTTTTGTCTATATGACTTGGTAACGAACTTGCGGAAATTGATGCAGTTATTAATCAAAACCCATCTTTGACGAGAGATTGATAGGTTTTGGTTTTTTTCGGCCAAGTCGCCTAATGCTGGTTAATTGATCCAGAAAAATTGAGATTTAATGAAAGAGATTTAATATTTATGTCGTATCTGACTCAGAACTGACAACTGGCATGACAGGGGACTTGCACAGACTCGGACCTGATACAAATTTGTTTTTAGACACTTTGACGAGGAAAATTGATCGCCAGAATGCCTCTTTTAAAATCTGTTAAAAAGCCTCCTGATCAACTCTCAA